AGTCAAATCTCAGGTACAAGAAATATTTGTATTCAGCTGTCACTGCTATTAAATTGCCATGTTGAGATTAATGCATCAAAATACAACACTAGTGTTTTATATTCTAGCGAAACTCTGAACCAAACACCTGGAAGCAACTTTGTAAATATGTTTACTGTTGCTATATTCATTGTATGTTGATGTATCGAAACATCAAGCCCAGAAATGACAAATCTATAATTTGCAGAACCAGTACTCACAATAGTCTGGTCGTGGTGGGTTGATGAATCAGAGGAAGTAAACAGAAGTGGTTAGTCAGAGGAGAGAGTCAAATCCATTCTGCTTTGGTTATGCTTACACAAATCAGCTTACAAGCACAAGAGAGAAGCAGGAACAGTGGAGATGCATTTAAGTGCTTAATTTAATTAAGATATTATATTAACTACAATGAAGATGTTACCCAAAGTATATTACAGGCCCTAAATTAAAGTAATTTCAGATGAATAGGGAGAGGGAGTGAGGTGACAGTAAAGGGCTGCAGGAAAAGATTAGTCATGCTGTAATTAGTTTTCATTAAGTAAACCATCAAATGTAGGGCAATAGGGTGAAAAACATTTTCATAAATCAAGACTTCAGCCCAAACTTACAGTACATGAAGACTTCTTCCTCTGGCAACACACTGCAGGGCTTTTCAGCTGTCATTATTAGATCACATAGAAAATAAAAATTTAATAAGCAGTGTTCATTTTAGCTGGTCCTTCATAAAATAACTCATTCCAAACGGCTTTATAATTTGAAACATAACATGAAAAAAAAGTCAAAAATATCTCAATAAACGCATTGATGACACCTGTAGCACCTGTAAGTAGTCAGTGTCACACAGCACCTTGTCACACAGCGAGTGCAAGTAAGGGCAGTTTTCCCCGACCTGACTTCACAAATATTCAATTCAATTCAAGTTTATTTGTACAGCGCTTTTCACGATAAAAATCATTGCAAAGCAACTTTACAGCAAATTAAGTTTCTACAATATTTAGTAGTAGCTTATTGCGGGGTAAAAGGTAGATCCTTACATCAGAATTTGTCTTTAATAAGAGATACGTTCCTTTACACACAGGATCGAAAATTACCTTTATGTGTTGTGGGATTAGACTTAGAAAAGGCTTTCGATAGCATAGATCACATTTTCTTACGTAAAATGTTACAGAGTTATGGTTTTGGGGAATCAATTCTTAGATGGATCAATTTATTATACACTGGATGCCAGAGTTGCATATTGGTGAATGGCCATCTAACACCACCTGTTACTGTCCGTTCAGGAGTGAGACAGGGATGTGGTTTATCTCCTTTACTCTTTGTATTAGCCATAGAACCATTAGCCCAAGCTATTAGGCAGAGTGCTGAATTAAAAGGATTATTAATACCAGGGAGCTTAGGTAAGGAAGCAAAATTGTCACTTTATATGGACGATATCACCCTGTTACTTTCGAATAACCATTCAGTAGAAAGAGCATTACAGTTATGTGAGCTTTTTACATTGGCGACTGGTATGAAAATCAATAAAAGTAAAAGTGAGATTTTATACTTAAATTGGACGGAACCCAAATTTAATTTTGGATTGAAAATCCAAGACAAAGCCATTAAAATATTAGGGATGGTGTGGTGTAGAGATATGGAAGAAAGGAACTGGAATCCCAGATTACAGCAAATAGAGTGGAAAATAAAACAGTGGGAGGAAAGAAATCTCAGTTTTCAATTCAATTCAAGTTTATTTGTATAGTGCTTTTCACGATACAAATCGTTGCAATGCAACTTTACAGCAAATTAAGTTTCTCCAATATTTAGTGGTAGCTTATCAGTGGTGACTGTCAGTCAATGTACATATGGCAGAAATGTACGGAAAAATCAATTAAAGACGTAATCAAACAGACGATGAACACTATTAACAGCAATTATTATATGATGTAATCAAACTTATAGCAAAATGTGGTAGTTCTGTATGTTGTTTCATGGTTGGCATCATCTGAGGTCCGCTGTATCTAAATATCTGTTTCTATATTCTGCACACGGTAAACTAAATGCACTTGACATTTGTTGACTGATATTTGAAGCGGAGGCTTACGTTGTTTGCGGAGCTCTTTAGTCCGGTCCATGGCTGCAGACGCGTTGAGAAGAGGACGGGCGCTGATCTCGCTGCTATGGACATTTTAGATTGAGTTAAGCTTGCGGCTCCAGCATCAGCAAACAAACCGAAATAAATGCCGCCGTGCGCTCTGTTTGAACCCGCGGCGCTGTTTCACAATCAGCTGACACAAAACTCAGGAAATAACTTTTATAAGCAAACACTTTTACTTTGGCGCGCTCTAGTGTCGTTTATGTGTATCTGTTTTTGTTGAGGTGCGCAGACATGACGTCAGTTTGTAGGCCAACCCGTTCACCATGGGGTTTTGTTTTTTGTTTTTTGTTTTTCGATCCATGAGTAAATTATGGTAATTAATATTACTTGAAGATACTTTTACGTTTTGTACTACAGCAAATTACATACAGTCATAGCACTAACTTTTTAAGTGAATTTGGTAACATGTTGCTACAAAAGGACTACAACTACCAAAAGGATGTGCATTTACGTGAAGTTTCAGACAACCTTTGTAGTAACTTAGTCCTTGTTGTAAGAAATTCTTTGGAAAGTAGGCCTAATTGTGATCATTTTCATTCACAATAAGACATTGTCTTATATGAACATCTTTATGTAATATTGTGATGTTTAAAAAGATAGAACACTATTTTCAAGCACAGAATGTCCCTTTCCTTATTTTCACACAGAAAAAAACAATGCATTTGTTGCATTTGGTTCAGAAGGGAGATATATGCCTATTTGAAACCCTGTACCATACATCTCTAAATCAGGGATTTAAAAAAAAAAATGTTTTGATGCCAAGTTCTCTCAAATATGATGCTATATAGCAGGGGTGTCCAAACTCAGTCCTGGAGGGCCGGTGTCCTGCAGAGTTTAGCTCCAACCAAAGAGTAAGACCAAGAGGCGAAACTCTGATGGTTTTTGGGTAACAGCCACTAGGTGGCGCTTCGGTAGCGCGGCCGCCATTTTGGAGTGAAAATTCCAACTGAACAACAGCACAGTTACACAGAAACAGACAGAATAACAATGAAAGAGAGGTCAAAGTGGAATAAAAGAACGCAATGTCGCAATGTTGGGCAATCCACTGCAAAAACTATCAGTGTGACAGTAAAAAATCTTGCCTTTCTTCGTTTTCTCAAAGACCCTGACAGGTAATTTATTCACAAAAGTGTAAAAATATTGTGTGTTTTGAAGTGGGACGTAGCGCTGTTTTATGCACCTGCTAACTTTAACTGTTTTTAGTCTAGTAGTAAACTTAAATCCTTTTAGGAACTGCAGGTCCTAACCATTGAAACCATAATAATGATTTATATGGATATGGCACTAAGTAATGAGCTTATGCAACTTTACACATTTACAATTACTATATTATTATTTACTATTACTCCACTAGGTCTGAAATATATATTGTACGTTTTAATCCCCTGGAACACACGAACATGATGATCTAGATTAGAACATGATGCATTGCTGTGTCTCTTGTCATAATTAAAGAATTAAACAATTTTGGAGAAAGTGGCTGTACGTGTGTTTTTTTTTCCACACACACACACACACACATTTTTAATTTACAGTCTTCCTTTAACGGACATTAATATAAGACAATATTGCACAAACAGTTTACTGTCAAGCTGTTATATATTTATTGTCCAACATTAATTATTAATTCAGTGTTTATAATGCTAACACTTGAACTTAAAATATTTTCAACCGAAACTGACATGGTTTCTAGAGAGCAAAAGGTTTTGTGAAAAAAAGGGGAAGACTTTAAAACAAAGTTTGTAAAATAAACTGTTAAAAGGATTTGATGATCACTAGTCTAGTGATTGTACATTATTGTTGTCATCGTTCAGACTGTATCTCAGCTTTAATGTACGGTTTTATAAACAAAGCAGCTGATATTTGCCATAGCTGACACACGAACCACTTCTGGTTGCCCAGTTAATCATGTGACATGAAATCCCACGAATATTTTACTATAAAAAACAAAGAATTCAGGGCCATATGTTGTGGGTTAAAAAAAACATAACTTCCCTTTAACACAGATGGCTATATAGTTAAAAAAATGTGTAAAGACATTCAGTACTTTCAACCTACAAATCACATCATACCTTAAAAATAACAAAATGAGCTTACGATAGAATTAAATCCACCTCCTTCTCCTGACTGATAAACTCTACTCTTGCCTGCTGGTTTTTATAGACAGCTCTAATGAAAACA